AAAATGGTGTTTAAAATTAAGAATCGCGAAATTGAATTTTTTCTTATATATTCCATCATGCATATTGGTTTAGTGATGCGCAAGCTTAATTGGTGCAAAATTAAAAATTTATTAGTCGCATATTAATAATTCGGGCCTCTCTATCTCAATTTTATTCGCTCGCTTTATTTCAGATTTTTTAACTATCGCGTCTTCAAGTATTTTGATTGCGCTATATAATATATTTAGTGATAGTAAGCCCAGCTCAAGCTTAATCAGGCAGTTTAGCCTTTTAATAACACTAGTTCCATAACCAATAAGTCTAAAGCAACATCAATTCTAGCTTAAATAAAATTAAAATCACCCTTTTTCGAGGTACTACATGCCAAATTTAACCATAACTATAATTTAAGAATATTTTTTTTAGATTCTTTTGATTCAATACTTCGCAAATTCTCTTGACTGTAAGAAATGTAAGAAAGTAAGAAGGCACTTTTAAATATTTTATTCCTTTTTTGAATTTTACAACATAAAATAATAATAATCAATAAACGCCGATTTTTACAAAATATAATATATTTCTCTTTAATATTTTTTTTTATCAATTATTTCTTATATAATAAATAAATGCTTATTATAATACAACATGTACCCCTTTTTCAAGGTACTACAAGCCAAATTTAACCATAACTATAATTTAAGAATATTTTTTTTAGATTCTTTTGATTCAATACTTCACATCATTGAAATTCTCTTGAAATCGACGTTGAGCGAAATTTCATATCGTTGATGTTCTATTATATCGACATTGAGCAAAAACTTCACATCGTTGATATTTTCTTGATATCTATACGTTATTTTCGTTAGTTGTCATCTTACTATTGTATCGTTCATTTCTGACGTATACGACGATTTGATATTTGATTAAACGATTGTTTTGGTTGTTATCAAAAATTATCCGGCTTAATGAGTCATAGTTTGATTTATCCATTGCATGTCAGTCATGATCATTATATTTTAAGCTCGGTCTCCTTATCCAACATTGTTGATTATCATTAAATTTTAATGGTCAATGTATCATAGATCTATTGCATCATTGTAATTTATTGAGTTGATTACATAGAATATTACACAAAGTAAGTAAGTCAAATTTTTTTTTAATCGCTTTAACATTTTTTTTTTACATAATGAACCCTTACACAAAACAACAACCTTATTATTCTCATTTTATTATTTTTTATTCTCTTTCTTTTTTTTACATAATGAACCATTACACCAAACAACAACCTTATTATTTTCATTTTATTATTTCTTTATTCTCTTACCCTTATATTTCCAATTATTTCTCTATTTCACTACCAGTTGCTTTTTCCTCAATTTATGTTTCTTCTCTTCTCAATACCGCTCACATTTTTATAATCTCTATTTTTACTTCTTAATTCTTTAATAATTAATTACTTTAACAACAATTTTATATTACAACCTTATTACCAACTCATATAAACATTTTATTTTCCAACTTTCCTTTACCAACTATAAATAACAAAATAAAATAATTTAAACTTTAACATCATACCAATTGACCCACAAATTTTACTTCAAAACTTTATTAATCATAACATTTTTAAAATAAAACAAAACAACTGCCAGTTTCTCATTAACAAAATTAATAATAACAATCAAATTTTGCAATATCAATATTTAAATTACACACGACTATCAAATTTTCAACTCATCTAGCATTTTATAATTGAACTATTTAATCCAATTTATCTAACCTTACGCAATTGGACTAAGCGATCCATAACCATTTTACCCCATAAATAATTTTAGAATATATTATTCCATATTTCTTTCAGATAACAAGCATTTACAATCAACAATTGGACTAAGCGATCCATAACCATTTACCCCATATATAATTTCAGAATATATTATTCCATAATTCCCTTATATAATTAGTGTTTACTATTCTCATACATATTCTTAAATTTTTCTTTAATTCTTTCCTTCTTTTTTTTTAACTACCTTTCATACCCTTTCTTGTTCTCAATTACTTTCAATGCTTTTTCACCCCTTTATTATCCTCCACTCTCTTTTAAACAAATATCTACCTTATAATCTATGAAACAACCCAATTTTTCATCAAATAAATTTTTATACTTATTTCTTAAATCAATCATATCATTCCTTAGTAGAACTAAATTCTCTTCTCCTTCTTCTACCACACTTTCATTTTTTAATTTTTTTCTAACCAATTTCACCGGAAAATTTTTCGATACAGGTAATTTTTCCCTCTCCAAATTTGAGTCTTTATAAATCTCATTACATTTTATATAATTATTCACCATCCTCGATTTCCCTGAAATTATTTCATTGTCTATTTCCAAATTAAAATTTTCATCATCAATTCCCAAAATACTTTCCACTTTCAACCGAAATATTTTCAATTTCCAAATCAATATTTTTTTCAATTTCTGGATTTTCCAAAATATTACATATTACCAACTTCCAAATCAACTGAAATATTATTAATTTCCAAATCAATATTTTTTTCAATTTCCGTATCAGGTTCAGGTATTAAACTTATATCAATTTTATTATCCAAAATATCAAGTTTTTCCTGACCCATTTTATCATTTATAATTTTTTCATTTTTCTGAACTTCCTCAGAATTATTTAATATATTTTTAATTTCATCATCTTTTAGTATTTTACTTTCCACAAATTCATTTTCTTTAATCATAAAATCTTTGATTATTATTTATCATACTCTCAATTTTAATATTCTCTAAAATTTCTTTCATTAATTTATTTCTCAAATTTTTTACACAGATTTTTAATACTTCAATATTTTTATTTTCATTTTTCCCCTGAAATATATTCATCAAAATATTTTCTAAACCAAATTTTGATATCCAATTCCATCCCAAAACTCTATCAATTTTTTCTTCTAATACCCACAAATCCAAATTTATTAATTCGTTATTAATTAATACCGGTAAATTTACTTTTCCCAATGCCATAATTTCTGAACCATTCAATTGTTTTACCCTCATTTATCTTTAATTATGTGTTCATTCGGCCATAAATTGTAAAATTCATTATACCTCATCACAGATATTGTTGCCCCTGTATCCAATAACATCAAAATCTCTTTATTTCCTACATTCACTTTTACTCTTGGACATTGATCAAAATTTTTATTATCTTCCAACTTGAAAATCGGTATTCCAACTTGAAAATCGGTAAATTACTAATATGTATATTCTTTCGTGTTTCATTTTCCAACATATTTTTATAAATCCCATAAGTGTTATTTACATTTCCTTCTATTTAATAATGATCCTTTATCTTATTTTTATATATATTTTCTTTCAATAGATCCAACTCATTTTTTGACGTAACTCCTCCAAATGTTTTTATTTCACAATCATACAGTCATCCTACTGTACAATCTCTCGCATAATGACCAATATTACGACATTTAAAACACGTTATATCTTCTACATTTCTTTTTTATAAATATTATTCCCTTCAATTTTTCTATGCTCCACAGCTGGAAATGCTTTGGAATTTCCCTATTGATTTTTATAACACTTATCCTGATTATGCCCAAACTTTCCACAATTTTCACACGCAGCCGTAATTTTTTGTTTTTCATTTAATAATTTGTATACCGGAACGTAACATTCCTCAGTATTATGTTCTCGGTTTCCACATCTTTTGCAAACTACTGATAACATTTTTTTATTTTTCATTACATTCTCTACTTATATGTCCATATTTTCCACAATTATAACACGTTCTATTTTGACCCGTTCCACTATTATACCTTTGATTTGCTTCATTCAATTTTTTAATTTCCCATTTCATCTCTTCAACTCTTTTAAGTAATTTTTTTTTTCTTTTTCTTGATTTTCCCTTTCCAAATTTTCTTTCTCAATTTTCCTTTTTTTTTATATTTTCAATCTCTATTTTTTTTATTACTATATCCTTTATCATATTTATTATCTCAATTTCATTATTTTCATTTCCTATATTTTTATTTTCCGTATTAATTTCATATTTTTCTTTTTCAAAATCTCTAATAATCTCTATTTTATCAACATTAATTCCAAATTTTCTTTTTTTTAGAAATCTCCAAAGATATCTGTTTTTAAAATTTCATAATATTCATCAAACATATTTCATTATAAAACTTTTCCATTTTATCATATTTTTCATTTTTTTCTCTATCTATTTGTTTTAACAATCTTATTTTATTTGCCTCTCTAGTAAAATTTCTTCTTTTATACCAAAAATAAATACTTAATATTAGACTTAAAACTAATATTAAATAAATACATTGCGACAAATTCCTGATTTCAATATAATTATAAGCTTTTATCACTTTTTATTAAACATAATTTTTTTTTTTAATTTAACTTACAATTTATTCAAATTTTTGTGTAATTGTAAAAATTTTATTGTAAAAATCTTTATAATTCTAAATGAAAAAAAATACGCCAAAGCTATTATTATTAATAAAATTGTTATATAATACATTCAAATAAAAATATTTTACCTTTCATTATTTTGAATTTTTCCTTTTTTTAAAAAATTTTAGCCGTCGTATAAGTGGTAGTAATTGGTTATGCCAAATTAATTATCAGTGTCGTTTTTACCGGCACCACTTTTCTAACCTTAAGAATACAGCCTTTTAATTTGCATTAAACTATATTATTTCATCAATTTAAAAAATATGTAAATTTGTATATGCAAAATAGTTTTTTATAAAATAATTGGGGGAAGAGGGGGGGGGGGTGCATTTAAATTTGTATTTTAAAATAAACGAGGGGAGGATACCCAATGATTAAAGCATACAATCTCACCCCCACACGATTCTGACGTTATTGCATCATATAACACCCTCTCTTATTATAGCTATTAGTTAATAATTTTTAAAAAATATTATGTTTATGGTCAATCTAGATATAAAATATTTATAATATCATTATTATTTATAAAAATAACTAAAGATATTAAAAACACAAAAATTGACCCAAATAAATCTTCAAGAATAAATCTATTGGAAACCGATTTCAGTAAACAAGCTCATGTGATCAATTCAGATGATATTATAATAAATAAAAGTAATAATAATCAAAATATGAATCAAAAATCTTATATCGTTAAACTAAGGAATAACTCGCGTATACAGCCTTCTAATATTAAACTAAATTCTGACTTAGGTAAAATTGGTTTATATGATTATGGTAACCTAACACCATTTGATCATAACTTATCAATTCTATTTACACCTTTTTCGGATATCAAAGATGTTAAAAATTTTCAGTGTCATCAATTTTGGGATTATAATGATATTCCTACTGATTTCAAATATATAGATTTCTTTAATTTGAATTATATCTATGAAAAATATGTGAAATTTCCTACAATCAACAAAACGCGCAAAGGGTCAGGAGAAAATTTCTTAAATACTATATATGATGAGAAAAGGAACTCTTTAAATGTTCCTTATGAACTTATTAATTTAACCAGTATATCTGATAACAAAAGTTTTAAATTTTCAATCCATTCTACTACCTACTCCAATTACGATACTTTGAGAGCTTTTAAAAAGATTGACAATTATGATTATTATAGGATAACTTTTGTGGAGCCATCAATATTTAATGTTTTCGAGAAAAATGCACCAAATTTAGATGTTTTGACAAGTAATTTATAATAATTAATGATTTTATTCTCTTTAAGTTAATAATTTGATTTTTTTTTTATCAATTTAGTAAATAAATTGTTAATCTAAACAGGTAAGTTAACTTGATACTATATTATTTTATTGATAAAAAAAATATTTATTAGGCTTAATAGTTTATAAAATATATTCCGATTTTCAGATTAATGATTGGCAAAGCTTTTTCACATTAATATTTTATATTATATATGGGCCATTCCACGTCAAATCGATCACGATTCGACCGACCCCTTTTAAAATTGTTAAAAATTTCTGGAATTATTTAGAAGGGTAAATGAATGAGAAAGCCGTTTATTTTAGCTCTCTAGCATACATGGTTCTCGAGATATAGGGGCTCATAGGTACAAAAAAGAGCCACTTTGGAATCTGTAAAATCTTTAAAAAGCTTATATCTCAAGAACTATTTATAGTAAAAAGATATATAATATATCATATTGTAGGTAAAAAAAATCTCTAAAAAGCTATCAAAAAATAATGAATATTGGCGCCAATTTGAATCTTTAACTTCCGGTTTGTCTATAATGCTTTACCTGTATTTTTAAGCAAAAAAGGGAGTTTGTTTTCGAAATTTTTTTATTGCTTTTTATTTAGACACCTTTTATAAATATATATACGATGTCAAAACTTTGGCGACGCTATCGACTCCAAAAATTTTAAAAAATAATAGATGGCGCTTTATGAAATTACGGATTTTGGTTAAAATTTTGCTACAAACTTATCAATAAACGGATATTTTCACTTTTTATACTAAAAATATTTTAAATTTCTATTAAATATACTAAATAAATTGAGGGGCAGTGTGGGTAAATGCCCATTAGACACTTAATAATGTAATATATTTCCAATAATAAAATCTTTCGTATAATTTTTTTATTATTCATTTATATTAATAATATAGAAATATAGAAATAGAGATAGACAATCATATTCATTCCATAATTTAAAATTTGTGAAATGTTATATTTAATATATGCGATTCTGTTGAATTAGAATAAAATTTTGTTTCAATTTTATCCTGAGAAATTGGATAAAAAGCATGAAATTTTTGCGTCCCTGGTATAGTACGGGCTTTGTTGAATCTCTCTTTTAAAATTATTTGTTCTTTCTCATATTCATCTTCCATAATATAGGAGAACTCTATTCCTTAATAAAAAAATTATAATATATATAATATATTAATAAATTATAAATCATATACCTTTTATATTTTCCTTACAATAGGCAAAAAACTCTTTAGGAGAAGTTATTTGTTCTGAAGTAGGTCTTTGTAAACTTGCTCTAGCCACTAAACGCTTGACGGTACCTCCGACCCCGTCACAAGCTGATTTGCCATGAGATGTAGCTCAGAAATGCCACTCACCTTTTATCTCGAATTCATATTCATGGTGGCAAAGATTGATTAAATTTTTCTGATTTTTATATTGAACTGCTGCTCCATCTGAAAAATAGAAGAATTTTTTTGGCAGGCATTGAAATTTCTTTGTTAAGTATTGAACTAAATATTTTTGGAATATATGAACCGCAATTGTATTATGAACGAGAGATTCAGATATTATTACGAAACTTAAATGATTTAAATTATTAAGTGACTTGTAATAAATGACAAAAGGATGAATGGTAACTTGAGATTTATTCCAGTGAAACCCCTGTACTTCATCTTGAACCACAAAGGCATAATTTTCAGCAAAATCTGCCTGCACGATATATTCTCCTTCCTTTAAATTAATTTTAAGAGAATTCATGAATATTGTTTGCTGCTTTGTTATGAATGAGTGTAATAGTAAAATATTTAGCTTTTCGAAAAGCGTTTCTAAAAAATTAAAGGTTGATGAAGTGATAGTTAAAAGTTCTGTACGATCTGTTGTTACCCATTGCTTATCAATATCATTGTCATTATAAGGAAGCTTTGCTAATTTTTGTCAGCATGAAGAGCATATTAGCATATTTAAATTGATTGGTAAATTTTTTTTGGTCATCCAAGGTTGAATCTTTCTTAGATTCTTGCGATAATATGCATGTAAAATTAATCTGATCGGAAAAAAAATTATGTTAAACAGAAAGAGAGATTGTTTTAAACTTTTAATTTTTTAAAATATTATTATCGTAAAATATAATCGATTTTTTTACCTACAATATGATATATTATATTATTTTTTACTATAAATAGTTCTTGAGATATAAACATTTTAAAATTTTTACAGATTCCAAATTGGCTCTTTTTTGTACCTATAAGCCCCTATATCTCAAGAACCAGGTGTGCTGGCGAGCTAAAATAAACGGCTTTCTCTTTTATTTCCCCTTCTAAATAATTCCAGAAAATTTTAACAATTTTAACGAAAATGGGCCTTTTTTGATCGATTTGACATGGAATGGCCCATATATATGTTTAAATCTCGTTCTAACTTCTTTTATTCTCCCCAACAACATGTAAAACATTTGTACATCTTTGATATATAAAATTAGTTAACATTATATTTTCAATAAATTTTAACATGTGGGGACCATTGTATATTAGGCAATTTTTGTTAAACAAATGATATTCATAATTAATTTTTTTAAACATTATTTTTTAAAAAAATTTGCAGAATTTATTGATATTGTTTTAATAAGCAACAACTAAATAAATTAAATTTAATTAAGGATTTTTAGAAATTTTTGTAAAAAAAAAGTAAAATGAAAAAATTATTTTAATAAGAATATATTATAAAAATTAATATTTTAGATAGTCATATATTTATTTACATTTTTTTTAATCTAAATAAAATATAAATATGTTATAATTAATAGGACTAAAGTTCCTAGCACCAACCATCAACACGCCCTCTAATTTTATACAGGAAATTTAAAATTATATTCATTCATGTTTTAAAGTATAACTTTTTTATTAAATCTAAATTTAAATGATAATGAGATAATTATATGATTATACCAAATCTAACAGAATAACAGGCAGTTGTACATGCTCGGCCATCCGTATTTTATTTCATACTTAAATTTTTAAAATAAAAAAAGTCAACTTATTATAGGTTTGAAATGTTCGGGTTTTTAACCTACACTTTTCCCATCGTTTTAAAATTTTCACTCTCACCCTACCACCTGCCCATGGTGCTTTATAAAACTCACGCGCCAAAGCACATTTATCTAATAAATATGTTTAACCAACCACCCGCCCTACCAATGTTTAAAATTTATTTTATTGATTGGTTTGGCTCCTTGTTTTATTTATTTATTATTAATTTAAATTTATAAAATAGCAATATTATTAAATAAAAAAATAACTTTAAACAATAATAATATTTCAAATTTATTGTTTCTAAAAATATATTCAACCTACCAGTTCACCCACTCAATGTTTAAAATTTGTAACTCGCCATGGGCAGGAGAGGGTGGGTGGGCTAAAATCACGTTCCTTGACATCTAATTTAATATTATTTTTTTATGATCTAATATATAATATTGTGATATATAATAAAATACAAAATTTAACTAATTTTGATAACTTGCAAAAAATCGGTTGACATTTATTAAAAAATATATCACACTTCTAAAATATCTGACTACGACGTAGCTTGCGTCAAAAATATAGACCACCTTCAATTTTTTTAAAAATGTTTTTGTATATGATTATCTGCCTTTTATTTTATCCATATTCTTAAATTAAACTATTTTTTAACCATTTTTAATATAAATTAAAATTTTATTAAATTATTTTAAATGGCAACCTGTAAATTGATAAACGTTTTTTTGTGTTAAAAACATAATATTGGTTGTGTTTTCATATTTTTTTAAAAAATGAAAACTATAAAACACAATGCTAAAAGCTCCTGCTCAATTTAAGCATAATGGTCCAGAAAACAACATCTGATGCAATTTCACCTCTCATTGTTCAATATAAGGAAAAATAAAATATTAGTCATTCAACTGTCTGAGAGATCATAGAAAGGGATAATAATTGTAACATAAAGGTAAATAAAAATCCTGGACATCCAAAATCAATAGATTTGAAAAAAAAAATAGAATGTTTAAAAAAATCATATTTGTTATAGGTATTAGAAGTTCACTTAGAATGGAATTTAATGCTTGGTTCAAATGCTTCTGTTGATGTTTATATACATATAATTCGTTAGTTGAGCTATCCTTTCTATAAAGTAAAATCATAGAACCGCTTCGGAATTGTTTTGAATGTACAGCTTTGAAAAAATATTTAAAAATTTTACAAATTATATTTAAGAATAGCACATAGAATGAATTATATGTAAACAAATACTAGCAGAAATGCATATTGGTCCCTATTCTTTCTGAGCAATGGAAGCAGAATACCCTCTGAAAAGTACCCCTCCCTCCTAAAAACAGTTAATTATTTTTTGACACACTTTCGGCAGTATATGAGATAGTGGGAATAGTTAATATATTTATATAAAATTGATAAATTAAGGAAAGCAGAAAAATTTTAAAAATTCTGAGCAATGGAAGCAGAATACCCTCTGAAAAGTACCCCTCCCTCCTAAAAACAGTTAATTATTTTTTGACACACTTTCGGCAGTATATGAGATAGTGGGAATAGTTAATATATTTATATAAAATTGATAAATTAAGGAAAGCAGAAAAATTTTAAAAACGATAAGGTGAAATAAACCCTGTCCAGAATCATTATCAGAAGAAAAGAAGAAGCTAAATAATGTATTAATATAAATATTTTAATAAAATAAATTTACAATTCTCAGAATCTGACAAATCTTTATATTCTTTAACCTCCAGGTCATTTATAATAACTACATCCCTCGTTTTAGTCATAATATAAATATTTCAAAACTTGGACATTTTTTCAAAAACTTGACTTGAATTTAAATGTTAACATTTACAGATATCCTCAATATTATCCTTAATGAATGTCTTTTCCGTCATTCCCTTTGGTGTAAAAAATCATGTTTGATTTAAAAATTTTATCGATACATCATCGATTCTTCCATTAAACTGCATAATGATCAAATCAAGCGCAGCATAAATTGATTTTATAGCTAAAATAAAATATTATATTTAATAATGAAAGTCAATAATTTAAATTATCTTTTTCAAATTAATATTTGATTTATCGCAAATTCTATATCCTCCTTTTGTACAAGCCAAGCTTGTTATCAACAATATTTTATCCAAAACATAAAGTGATAAAATAAAATAAAAATTTTCTATTCTAAAAACAATAGCACTTCCCATGGTAGAAGATCAGAATCTTCAGAATCTTGTTTATCAATGCCCTCAAGGTATTATAAAGTAGAAATATTTTTCAATAGCACTTTATGTTTTTTGTAACCATATTTTATGGTTTCAATGAGAATGTTTATATTATTATACAATAATATATTAGAATATATTTTGGACTATAATCCCTTTTGATTTTTCTCCCATCTTTTTATTTATTTATTGAATATACAATTTGAGGACAGGTTCCGTCTGCAATTAGTTTAATATTAGAAGCTACTATTTCAAAGCTTTTTTTATATCGTTAAAATTTAGCTCACCATGTCCTTTTCTAATATGGTCTATCCATTCATTTCTTATATTAGGCCGTGTATAATTATTAATTAAGCATTTGTATTTTTTTTGGTTAATATTTTTGGGCATGTTTTGAAATTGGAAAAATAATTTTATAAGACAAGAAATCCTTTGTACCCGCATTCAAATTTTAAGAAGTACTTGCTTCGGTAAGAAAGAAAGGATCCCCCTCCTCCTGTAGTGGCCACTGAAAATACATCAACTTAGTATTGAATTCAATTCTGAGTGAATTGAATTGGAATTCCGATGATCCAATAGATTTAACTTTCTATTTTCCATCATTGTGGTTGATTTTGGACGTGTACAATTTTTTATTGCCTAAACCTTTCTTTTATGTCTCAATCTTTTTGAACAACAATATTTAAATTTTAAAAATTTTTCTTCCAGATATTCCTTTTAGAGGATGTTGAACAATATTTGGTCAAATTACATCATATGTTACTTTCCTGAGGTTTTTTTTTTATCTAATTGCCTTGCCCGAAAATTTTTTATGAACAACTTTCCTGACCCAGCCCTTATAATTTTTTGGTTAATAACCCAATTAAAGGAATCTGTAACTCAAGAAAATTTTTTGATCAAATTCAATATATATAGTTAAACTAGTAAGCAATATTAAAGGTTAGAAAAATATAGGCTAGATTTAATTAAAGGTTTAAGAGATAGGGGTTAAAACTTAAAGAGGGTTTTTAATAAAATTTAATCATTTTTAATATAACTTTCAAAATCTGACAAGGGGTGTTGTTAAAAATAATTTCCTTGAGGAAGACCATAATAAATTTTTTGCCGGCCCGTTTTATTTTTTTAAAATTTTTCCGGCCCACGGACAGAGCTTTGCATATATCTATTGATTCCATTTTTTGATTTAAAACATTTTCTATTTAATATTTTAAATTAATTTTTTCCCCATATTGATTGATGTTTCTTTTAACATATTTATTAGCTGATCATATTATTTATATATTTAATTTCATGAAAATCTTAATTTGTATTAATTCCATTAGAGAAAATGAGTAAAGTGCTAACAAATTCAGCATAATTGCTGATGCACTTTTTTCATAAAAAGCACCATTATTAAAAAATGAAATCATACAAAACAAAAAATATGACTATTATAAATTGGAAATCATGATTTATTTCATTAATTTTCCAAACCCTTTTTCCGAAATAATTACATAACATGAGTTTTCTTGGTTCCAATAAAGAAACAGCAATTTTATAGGAAATTAAAGATATTAAAAAAATGAAAATCCTTTTTTATTTACACGAAAAATCTTTTAAAAAATCAACTCGGAAAATTTAATAAAAATTTTGTAAATTTTATTTAGCAAAATCATCTATGATTTTTAAAAATATATTGAAATCAAAAAATTTTCAGTTTCAATATTTTTAATCTTGGGTTATTATAGAAATAGATAGATATAAAGTAGAGGTATAAGTGCCTTAATTGACATTGGAAAAAATACCATTTTTTATGGGATCGGACCAATTTTTTGTCCTTTTTAAAATATAAGTTATCGACTAATATCATTATTAATTTATTTCTATAAGAATGTTTATGATTTTAAAACTTGAGAAATTTAAAAAAATTCTAACAGTTGATAATCATTAAAGATCAGTCGCGCCACTAGGGAGAGGGGTGCAGCACAGGAGCTCAAGCCCCCTAAAAAATATGAAGAGCCCTCTGAAATTTTTTAAAATTACCTAAAAAAGGCCATGTTGAAAATATTTCAGATTATTTTCCCAAAAAATTTCAAGTCCCCTAAGATTGTAGAGACTAGTGACGCCACTGAAATGGATTAGATGAGTTTCTAATTTCTTTACGATAGAAAGACGTTCGGCCGATATGAATTTAATATAAAACAGGTCAGATCGGTCAACTTGTGCAAATCTTTTAAATGCCCAATTTTTTAATTCAAATGTGTGTTTAAAAGTTATATATTTCACAGTTTTAAAATTCAAATGAGTTTAAAAGTTATATATTTCACAGTTTTAAAATTAATTAAATAGACAATTATTAATGGAAACATGCACAGTTTTAAATTACATGCAGTTTTAAAATTAAATTCTATCAGTTTTATAATTAATTGTAGTTTTTGACTAAAATATACAGAATTTTATTTATTAAAACATTTTCTCATTATATTTAAAGTGCAATTTTATTAAAATGATAAATGTTAAAACCGATGATCCTATTCCAAATTTCTTTTTTTTTATTACTAGCAACTTGGCTAAAACTGATTTTTTCCAGTCAATATTAAATGATATTTATTTAATAATTAAAATTAACTTTATTTATTAACTGTATTACATATAGTATTTTTAATATTTGTTTTTAGCTATAGATGAGAAACATACAACATATAAATCGCTTTCTGGAAAATTTGGAATTCTAAATAACATTAAAAAAAATACAAAATGGAACAAGAATACAATTTACAGTTTTTATAAAAAACGAATAAATTACACAATTTTAGTCAATGCAAAATTTTTATCCGCAAATTTTATAAAAAATTATATTCGCCTCAGCTATGATAATTTAATTTGTTTAAAAGTTTATGCCAAGATTCAATTGAATTATAAAAATATTTTATGCGAATTAGATGGGCATTCAATGAAAGATTCATTTATATATTATAATCGTTTAAAAAATATTTTTTATTCAGATCAATTATTAGTTAATAATCACTTAAAATGTATGAATATCTATTTTCCAAATAATCTCTGTGAATTTGGAATGGATACTATGTTATCTTTGAAGAGAATTAATAATGTTCACGATTCCATAAAGAGAAATAGGCTAAAAAACATGAAAATTTTATCGCCGTTTAAATTTAATTATTTTTTTGGGAAAAGGTGGAAAATTTTAGACTGTTCCTTCTTCAAATTTGATTTGAAAAATAAATTATGCTTTATGGAAACTTGTAATAAAAATGAAATATTACGAATTATGAATAATATCACCGTACTAAAGTCTATAAAATTTCATGATAATGATGAGCCTAATAATGCTATCACAACAAAATATTCATGCATAAAACCGAAATATATTCATAAACAAGATATTGGCATCAAATTATACAATACTGAGGTCAAAAATTACAAACTTGAGCAGCACATCGTTATCACGGTATTATCGTATCATAATAATTTTTTTAAAAAATAATCAAAAACTTGTAATAGAAATTCAAAAACATTTATTTCTGACATTATAGTACATTATTATATAAAATAAACTTATTAATAAATGTGACTGAATATGAGGCACATTGGCAGTATGCAACGTTAAAAAATTTAATCTTGCCTCTAAATTAATAAATTTATTAAATTTGGTCATCCAAAATTAATTTTTTTAAATTATAAAAAAAATTAAGATTTGTGGTTTCCATAACATTCTTAAAAAATTAGCTAATTTTCGAAAGATTTACTTTAGACACAAAATTTAAAATTAAAAAAAGTTACTTCAATAACGAAAGTAGGCAGTGTAAATGTAATAATTTTAATACACTTAATATTTCTCATCTTCACATTAATGTTTCACTACTCTACACAACTCTCTTTCAATTCATCTTTGAAATTAAACCCTTTAATTCTTTATTCAAAACTATAAACATAACGATAAACCTTTATTTTATTTTATACAACTAAATATACCGATTATTATTTATACCCTATTAAAATCATCTGATGACAATAATATAATATTACTAATTAGTGATCTGCATCGGGCCTAATTTTTCAAACCCGGCCCGAAATTTTTTTAAAAAGATTTGCCGGCCCGGTGAACACTAAATTTTTTTAAAAAAATTTACCGGCCCGACCCGGCCTGGAATTTTTTAAAAAAGTATTAAATCCGACCCGGTCCGAACCCGATTTTATAAAAAATATTAGGCCCGACCCGGCCCGAACCTGATTTTTTAAAAAATATTAGGTCCGACCCGACCCGAACCTGATTTTTAAAAAAAAATTAGGCCCGAGCCGGGCCTATTTTTGCAGATATCTATTATCAATATCATGCAATACATAAAGTAAATGATATATAAGTGAGCAATTAGACTAGATTTTTTAAAATTAGAATGCTATTTTTTAAATCTTTTGCAAGATAATTAGTTAAAATTTTTATATTGAATTAATATTTGAAGTTTTATTTATTCAACCGTTAAAAATTAGGCAAATATTAATTTTTTCTATAAAATGCACAAGCAAGTAGTAGGTTATATATTCGATTTGGAAGAGATAAGTATGAGCCTCAACAACATAAAAAAATGTAACCATATTTTGAAAATTTCCTCTTTTCATATATGTTAACAAACACTTCTGATTTTCACTTACTGTAACATTACTTCAAAAAGAAACGCATTACTCGTTATATAAAAAAGGAACGCGTTACCGTTACTCGTAACCTTGAAAGGAACGCGCGCTTCTAGCTATTTAGAAAGTAAGTTACTCGTTATTTGAATAATTAATAAATATTATTTAACAAAATTTCCTATATTTAATATAAATAAAATTATACAAAAAAATATATATTATAAGATGAGATCTTTTTATAATAATTTTTTTGTCTATTTATAATATAAATAAAATTATACAAAAATAATATATTATAAGATAAGATACTTTTATAATAATTTTTGAATTTTTAGCAACAATTAAATTTCAATATTTTGATAAAATAAACGAGAGTGCTCAACATTCGACACGATCAAATGGCGCAGAGGATGGGAGGGTTGTATAATATTTAATAAAAAATTTTAATTGGGGGAATTTATTAAAAATTAAAGAATAATCCTTATCATCTTCAAAAGAATCTTCATTTAGATCCTCATCAAAATATTTTTTTTATCTATATCAGAAAATAATCTGATGGTATGTGTGTTGTTTTTAAAGGATCAAAGTCTGCCTTTCCTTTGTCAAAATATTTTCTCAAACTGGAAGATTCCTACTTTCGTTGATCTTTTATCCACAGATAATCTAATTTAAATAGCAGGTGAATTATTGCTGATAGTACATATTCATTTTTATAGACTTGTTTAAATCTATTAAAACTAAATATAATAAATTGTAAACAATTTTTCTACTATACTTTTTATCAATGCCATGCAACATTGCATTAATAAGTGACTTACAAAACTTGAAATTATTTAAAGCAATTTTTTTTAAGTTTTAATATTATAATAGTTATTGTGGGAGTGAGATATCTCACATGTTCTAAAATCGAAAGAGCCGTAGCAACAGGTTGCATAACATATTAAAACATATATACCTAATATCATATTTTCTAATAAACACTAACCACACAAAATTTATATGTACGATTTGTCATTATCTGAAAATTTCTGCAATTCGGATTTATCACAAGATTTGTCATTGGTTTTTTTTCTTAATAAGACTATTAATTTCAAGGAGTTATAAAAAGAATTCCATACCAGATATCTCCCCATTTATATCTTTGGCTGCACAGTTTCGAGACTGCCCATATTTATTCCACAATTGAAGAAATATTTAGTTGGGACACAATTTTACAAAGTGTAGACTTTGTACCCTTAATTTAATTTTATGGTGTAAAAATATTTCATACAGGAGCAGACTGGCCATAAGACCAGGTGGGCATTTTTGCGCACGAGGCCGTGAGAAAATGTCGTTTTTGAGGCCGATCAGAGGAAAATATCAAAAAAGAGGCCGATTAGAAAAAAATAATATATCATGTTCACATTATTTTTTCTTAGCATTTATTTATTTTAATAATATCTCTATTATTTGAATATCACATTCCTTGAGAATTATCATGTTTACTATATTTTAATGCATAAAATATCAATAACTTCGCTTGACGCTATACATCATTACTACCTGCCTTTCTTTGTTTTTTTTTCAAATGAAGTGGAAACGCTTCAGTTTGAATTTGAGTAAAGTGAAAGATATGTTTTGATTAATTTATTATATTAAATTTTTATACATTGATTTATTGTAGAAATAATATAGCCAACATTTGTGATTGTATTTCCTGTTCTTAATTCATTGAAATTAAATAAAACCCAGGTATTATAATTTTAATAAAAGAAATTTTTGATCAATTTGATTTTCTATTGTTTATTTTTAATATAACTGATGTTATTTTATTACTAACTAAGCTCAACGAACACAGATTTTTAAAATCTTACCTAAAATTCTACAATTTATACTTATATGCAAAAATTTTCAGTAAAATTTATTGTACAAACCAAATATTATAAACAACTTTATATATCTATTTTTACACTTATTTATATGATCATTGAATTATAATGTGTGTAAAAAGTTAGTAAACAACTTATTTATACTTCATAACCCATACATAATAATGTTTTTTTTATTATTAATGGCTGGTTCATCAGATTTTTATAAAAGTAAGTAATTTTATATGAAATATGAATTTTATTTGGATTTCCAGTTGACATCTTGAGATATTTTTATTAGCCTTAAGTTATAAATTAATAATAGAAAATGTTTTATGTAACATCATAAGAAAGGATAACCTAAAATTGGTTGCTTTATGATATAATTCTTTAAAAAAATTATATTAAATTTAATTTTACACTTATCATGTTTATATTTATCATGAGTAGTGCACACAATTATTATTTTTAGTTAAATTGAGATATTTTTAAATATCATGAATAGAAATGCCAAAAGAAAATTTAAAGGTGGAGCTTAAAATTAAGAGAAAAAAATGCTGCTGGTCTCAAAGTAGCTGGTGCTGATGCAAAATAACTTAAATTATCTTTCTTTGATAAATCAAAACCAAATCTAATACTATTACTTCATGTAAAAGAACTATTTTTTTTAGGAATATCAACAACTGCCTCCTATTCACATCTACCTGAAACAACTACATTGTCTGCAACATCTTCATTTATTATTGCATCAGTTCAATCATTGCCACACCCACCTAAAACTATATTATCTACCATTATAGCAGATAAATCATTTACATACCCTGAAAATACATAATCTACAATTGCAAAAATTCCATCTATATTGTTCTAACACTTGCCAGAGGCAACTACATCAATAATGCCTTCAGATATTCACAAGTGGATCATTGATATCGTAAACAATTCCACCACGTATAAGAATATTAACGTCACATTCATCTGTATCAATTTCATCATCTATTCTTCTAAAGAGCACCTTCCCAGATATGCCACAAATCGATTTATGTTATCCTACAGTATCCCCTTAAGAATTGGATATGCATACAGATACACGTAACAGCTACTATATCTCAAAAACTTACATTTTTAATGAAACATTCTATACAATCAATAAATAGTAAATATGATAAATTATATTATCGAATGGTAATGAATGAAAAAATACTAAAATGTATTACAATAAAACTAATATGCAATAAAGCCAAAGATGTGTGCTCAAGTTGCCTGGCATTTGCAGTATGCGAAAATACTTTCACAACAGGCTCAACAAATTTTCGACATATGCATTCAATAATTAAAATACATGAAAATTCAAGAGTACATATTAGTGCCGAGGCCTACTTCAGAGCATCAAAAAACAAGTCATTTGATATTTCAATTATTGTTAAAATATTAAATGAAAAAAATCGACAAATTATAACAATGTCCACATAATAAAACAAATATTCGAGATAATAAAGTTTCTAAGCAAACAAAACTTACCCTACAAAGGATCAATCTTAGCTACTTCCCTCGACAAATATTGCAGATAGAAATCCTGAAATCCCTATTTCCCAACCTCATAGGATTTTCCATCCTATGTTTATCATTCTTTTCAAATTAAATTTTGAATCATGGGAATTTCCTAGAAATGATTTGTATTATATCAAAGAGTAATCAAATACTCAGACATCATTTCAAGAAGGCTATTTTAAAGAGCAAACGTAGAAAAGAAAAGCTTAAACTCTCTGGCAAATTAAAATCGAAGGGAAAAGATTCTCTCATAACCTTGTTGTCAAAACAACTGTTAACAAAGTTATTGATGTTGTTCTTGATCAAATCAGGAATTTAATAAAAAAAGGAGATTGGTAACAAACGGTTTAGTTTGCAAATGGATAGTAATCAAGACATTAGCGTTTATGTTCAGACAACCAGTCTACGATACATATATAATGGCAAAATAACAGAAAGGATTTTCGCACTTACAAAAGTTACAAACTCTTCTGGAATAAGATTTTTTGATATCTTAAGTCAGTGGCGTATCCAGGATTTTCTTATAGGGGGGGAAAATTTTTTTGGGGGCTTCGCCCCCAAACCCCTTTTACCTGGCCTTCGGCCAGCTTTCCCCGGCCTTCGGCCGGGTCTTATTAAGCTATTCTATTAAATTATGAATAATTTAATAATAATTATATTTCTATTTTTAACTATTATTTACTAATTCGTGCTTATGGATAGGATATTACATGCCTCTTTTCTATTATTTCAAGTTAGGTATATTATATTTAATAAAGTTTTTTTAAATGTAAAGGTTTATTTATATGTAAAGTTGAAATAAAGTGTAATGTCATTTTTTTTATAAAATTTGCTTTAAAAACTAGCCTCAGCTTAAATTCTCATACAATATAAGTAGAATATAATTTTTTTTATTGAAAATACTAATAGTAGTTTAAAATATTGACTAGAAAATAATTAAATTAACAAGTTTTTTTTAACTTCTTATCAAATACAAGATTTTTAATTATTTCGTTTGTCTTTGGAACCAAATCTCTGTGTATATTTAACAGAGCTAACCCATTTAGCCGAGATTCAGTACTTCGTAAATATGTTTTCAACCTTCTCAAGTTGGAAAAAGTCCTTTCATTCGTACATGTTGTAATAGGCAAACATGCAAGAATATAAAACAACTTCGAAATATTAGGAAATTGAGCCAAGGTTTCTTTACACCGATTGAGCGCATCAATAGCATACTCAGGTAAAATAGCTAAACGTATAAATATTTATACCACAATTCGAATTCACTGATTAAATTTATTTCAGTATCAATCTCATAGGAATAAAATTTTTCTAAATATTTAATTTTACCAATAGTGGCATTAGAAAATGAAGAAGGATCTTTGGGTAATAAAACTTGAAGATTGCTAAAGACTTGTTTTTTATCTAAAACCCGTACTTTTATTTGCTATAAAATAGTATCTAAGAATGGGATGAAAATGGATATTTTAGAATATTCTTCAGTTGAGCCAATATTTATTTTCATCTCAAAAATGGCCTAGGTGCTAGACGAGGTTTAATTAGTATTATATCATAAAATTTAGCCTTCGATTCAACGTCTAGATAAATATTATGAAAATATTTATCTACATTCATTCTTATTGTATCTACCTGTTCATGTATATTTTCCGCCAAATCAATAACTTGAACCAAATCTAAATTTGGTTTTTGTAAATTTCTACAAAGTAGTGAGCTAAAAATAATTTATTGATGCAACTAGCAGCAATGATAAACTCTGATTGATCAATTGAATTCAATAATGATATCGCTGCTAACGACACATTACTTTTTTTCATGCTCAGCCTTATTTATAAATTATCGTTTGATTTCAATCTCTTTGACTAAATATTTTTACATTTTATTAATATTTTTGAATAATATGTTGGAAAATTAATATTCAAATATTTGTAAAATTTTGATTTGTGTGGGTAAGGGGGGGGGGGGGTCTGGGGGGTGGGGGTAAAATTTTTATTAGCTTAAAATGATATTTATGAAAATAGTCAAATTTGCGATGGGGGGGGGAAATTTCCCCCTTTCCCCCCCATTGGTTACGCGCCTGTCTTAAGTTAATGCTTTTTGAAAAATGTAATTCAAATGAGAAATATAATTGGAGAATTATTTGATGGTGCTGCAAATATTCGGGGTGAATTTGTTAGGTTGCAAGCTCTTATTAGACAAGAGGCTCCAGGTGGTTTGTATATTTGGCGCTAATATTATAATATCTTCTATCTATCTATAATCATAGGTCTTTTGCAATTTGGATCTGATTATATATGATATTTTTAATGATGATTATACCTAAGATACCTCATCAGAAAACAAAATATAGCCTAACCATTTCATCAGAGGGTTAATATCTAGATTTTCACAGTATCAATGTTTAAATTATCAAATATTTCTTACAATAAAGATTTTATCGAAGAATGGATATATTTGAATTTTATACAATTATATGTCTTTTAATTAGGTAATTTTTATGCATAAGTAAATATTTGCATTTATGTGATTACTAAATGATAGATCAGTTTGACAAAAAATTAGAATTTTCTCCTTAATTTGATGATGGATGAATTAAATTAAAAGCCATGCTTTATGAATTATCACTTTTGCTTAGGTCTCTAATTTTGCAACTTAGTAAATCAATGGAATTTTTATTATGGAAGCAGATTTTGGTTTTGTTCTTTGATACAACTCAATTGCGATTAGCATAGCTGATATTTTTAAAATTTTGCCATTATTAGGCTATCCCATGTTATTCATGCAACTTTCAACTGAGTACCTCTTTTATCTTATCTAAAGATGCCTTTTTACATGCATTTCATAGTTTTGTATATTTTCTCATCACTTCATATGTGTTTAATGTATGTTATTCATTCATATAACTTATAACATTTTTGATTAAATGTAAAACTTTTTTGTTTTACTTATATATAATTTGACTATGATTGAATTAATCTCCTATTATTTGTTAACTTAGAATATCTTTTTATTTTTTCTATTGTAATTTAATAATATCTTTTAATTTTTTCTATTGTAATTTAATAATATCTTAAATTTAATTTTATATTTTGTACCTAAGTAATAAATCACATATCAGGAGGGGTGGTTGTCTGTTTAAAATTTAAATTAGGATGAAAATTTTTCACGAATTTATAAAAGGCATGGTACTTTAATATGTATTCATGAATTTCATAAAAATGCCAGGAGTTAACCATTAGAATGATGGGTGGTAATCAGATATTTACCCTGCATTTGATAATAAATTATTTTGAAAAATTTTCTCAATAATATAGAATGGCAAAAAAATGTACATATAAAACAGATTTAATTCTTATAAACCCCTTACATTGGACATATTTTTCTGGATCCACGGAAAAAATTAATTATTATCGGTTTTGCTGGGCTTGGGAAATATTTTCCACAATTAATATGGGCTTGGACCTGGCTTGGGAAAAAATTTTCAAAATTATTAAGGTCATATGCTTAAAAAATTTTAATTTTAAATATGGGTTAGACATTGACCTGTAATTTTTTTTTGAAGACATGGCCAGGCCTGATAAAAAAACTAAGGCTTATGCTCAAAAAAATAGTATTCACTCTTAGTCTTAATATGTTGGCCTTGGTCTAAAGTAGTGGTGAGCGAGGTTAAAAAGAATAAAAAATAGAGATGATTTTTAGAGATTTACCTATCTCCAAGCTGGGAACAATTTTGAAAATTACTATGGGTTGGGCTGGACTTTGAAAATATTTTTTTAAATTATTTTGGGCTGGACTTGTGGAAAATTATTATAATTTTTTAGATATTTTTTTTCAGTTCTCAACTTTATGATCTTTCATTGGGCTGGAACAATTTTTTCAAAATTATTATGGCGTACCTTGCTTGGGAATTTTTTTAAATATTAAATATTAGGCATAGGTGATCAGTAATATTTAACAAATGATATTGATATTAAGTAAAAACTTTAAATATATTTTGAATATTACACTTAGTTTTAACGGATTAAACCTGGCCTGAAGGGGGAGGGGGGTTATAAAGAATAAAAATTGGATATTATGTTCAAATATCAGGTAACAACTAGCATAAAAGTAAGGAGAAAATTCTCATACATTGTCATTTTTGACAGGCTATCTACTAGTAAAATATACATGTGCAATGAATATTTTTTTATATTTGCAATGATATTTTTTATATGTGCAATGAATATGATTTTAGATGTGCAATTTTTTAAAATAAAATATATGATCATTGTGTACTATTTTTTTATTTTATTGAAAATGTAAATCGTTTGATTTTATATTCAAAAATAAGAAGTAATAAAAATCATGTACGAAGAAGCCATGAAGGTCTTGCAAAAGCAGGCCGAAGACCCGCAAAATGGGGAGTTTGAGGGGTGGAAGCATCCATAAAAATGAGGCCGCTATAAAAAAAATGCTCACGAGGCTCTAGCATTGACAGTCCGCCCTGGTTTCATATTGGGGCCAGGGCAGGTTAAATCATTTGTCTGAAGTAATATGTACAATTGATATAATTATCTTTATAAAATAAATTATAATATTAGAGAATAAGAATCTTGATTGATTCAATATTAATTAGATTAACAATCGTGACTGACAATTTAACAACGAAAATTTATAATAAACATGAAAGAATTTGATGGTTTGACTTAAAAAGTCGGCTTAAATATGTTTTTTTCATATTTTTTAGGAAAAAAATTTAAAGTAGCGAGTAATGTTTTGCGTTAACTTTACTCAAAAAAAATAACGTGTTACCATCACTGGTTACCTCTAGGAGGTAACGAACGACGTTTTTCTTCCAAAAAGATATCTATTTATTTTGCCAGATTAGAAGAAAAAAAATCTTTGCTGGGATTCGAACCCATGTCCCTCACATTTGTAACTAACGTTCTTGCCGATTAGGCCATAGACACTTTTAAAAAATCGTGAATATTTAAATATTTACTATAAATTGTCACACTGTGACTGTGACAAAGCTTTTATATATATTATAGATAGATAATTATGCTATATATTATAATGAATATAATGATAATTTAATCTCAAAAAATATAGTCCAGTTCAGATAAAATGTTCCTATCCTAATTCCTAAATTTAAAGTAATACAAACAGATTTTATCTGATGTTATGTTATCATTAAATAAAACAATTAGGAAGAAGGAAATTAACAAACTAGACATGTTTTTTGGAAAAAAAATTAAAATTTGTTTAAAAAAATATAAAAATAATCAAATACTGTTTCTCAAAAATATTATTTATAAATAAAAATGATTAAAATGCTAATTTTATTGTGGGAGACATTTTAAAATTGTGGGAGATTTCAAAATACAGGAGTAAGATTTTACATGTAAACTAAAAAATTGTGGGACCCCATCATGAGATCTGTTTAAAAATTGAAATTCTTCCAACTCACTTTGAGAATATAGTAGGTCAGGATATAAAATGAAGATAGAGAAATTAATCTAAAATAATTTGTTTCAGTAATCTCTTAAATCTGATATTTTATATGGAGTTTGGAAATTTTAAAAATTTGTAACCTAAAAAATAGGCATTTAATTTATTAATTTAAAGCATCATTTATTAATTTAGAGCATAAATAATCAATCATTTTTTTATCAAAAAAAAATAGCAAATCAATTATTTAACAATGTTTAAATTAGAATTTTTTGGTTACCACCAAGCCTAACAGATTCAGATCAAAAAATCTATTATGTATGTGAGTAAAAAGAAATGATGAAAAGAAAAAAGTAATTAGATTTTTGTATACATATACTTTAAAATAATATTTTGCTTTGAGATAAAAATTTGCTTCAATTGCCAACATAAGAATAAGTCTGGTAGAAACACAAAGTTTAATTTGGAAGAATTATTATTATACAATTTTGGTTTTATATGGCAATAAAAAGTATTCATAAGCTTAAAAATTGTTTAAAATCCTATTCATATAATATAACTTCATTTTTTATTAATTTCAAATGCTATATTGATAACAATCTTTTAAATAAATATAAATGTTATATAAAAATATTAATTATCCTTAAGTTTTTGCCACTTTAAAGGTTTTTGTCTATAAATAGGCCATGCTGGTATAACCATCTATTTTAACATAAGTATAAATAACAACCATATTAGATATATTTACTAAAGAAGATATCAAAATGCCTATTCCCAATAAATATACCGTATAAGAAAACAACTGGAAATAATAACCCAGAAGAAAACCTAAAACCTAAAATAAAATGGGTTACCTAAAATTTTATATATTTACCCCAAATATAATTATGATAGATTGGTATATTTTTTCAGCTAGCAATTGTCCTTCATAATCCTAAAATAAACATTATAAATTTCTAAAAAATAGATACCATATGCAATGGAATAGTTTTAAAATATTTATACATTTTTTAATAAACACGTAAAATTATAGCTTTAGAGGTTTCTGCCACAAACAATGACAAAATTTTGACAGGTAGTGAAGGGACATAATATCAAATGTTGTTTTTTCGCATTTATAAAAAAATGATGCAGAATCTGAATAAGGCTCTGTAGAAGAAGTATAGGAAATTTTTATAATCGGGAGGATTTTTTCTTTTTTTATAATTTCCAAAACTGAAATTGTTTTTAATTTTTTTGCCACCGTATTTTTTCCAACGACACTTACTTTTGTAATTTTTGAGATTATACTTAAAAATCTACTTTTGTATACTTAAAAATTTTTTATTTTTCAAAAACTAAAACCTAACAATCAATCAATAAAAAAAATATATTAATACATTTAAAAAAAATCAATATTATTTTCTTTTAAATTAATAACAATAATAATAATAAACATATACCTAGAACACCTCCCTTATTTTTAAGAGGCGTTCTCAGGTTACTAAATATATATATATATATATATAAAAATATTACATTTTATAATATATATTGTTCCTCTTTATTCATTAACTTCATTTATACCCATCTCTGCGAATTATTGTTGCACTTCTTCAGCTACGTTCATTTTAGTAGAAAAATTGACGGGTCTTTTCCTTTGCAATGCTGGTTTTTTCATAAGTGTCTTACGCACTCCAAAATTCTTCTGATTCATGAGTACTTGCTTAGGCAGGATTACATTAGAACGATCCAGAATTGTGTTAGCACGAGCAAAATTCTAATCATTGACTTTATTTTGGTTATTATCATTATTATTGATAACATAAGTATTGCTGGGACAGTTAGCTGCTTTGTGTCCATCTGTTCCACAGGCAAAACAAGTTAAACGGAATATAGGTCTGTTGAACAATTGCTGAACACTCTCCTTGATCTATGAAAGGATGGTTGCACATTTATCGTTGATTGGTTTGGTGGCTGACCATTTCTCACAAGTTCCTCCTTCCTATTTGCCAGTTCTGTCCATGCACAGGCTAAAGCAGTTCCTGCTTGCGCTTCATTGATCTGCAGGATACTAGATTTTAAGTTAACGTAATACGTGTTCATGGTCACTCCTATTATCAATAAATTTTTCAACAAATTTTCCGAATTTTATTAATAAAATTATTTACTAAACATCATTAACTTTTCTTATTTATTCCAACTTATATTTAATTATTATTTTCACAATAAACAATTAATTTGATAAACAAATAACATTTTTTAATCCACTCACCACCATCATTATTTATTTCAAAAAATATACTTTCCAAACCTCTTTAAATCAACTTTTTATCTCTTGCTGCATAAATTTCACTTTTTTAATAATAATTCATAAGTTGTTTAAATTTCTCCTTTTTCTTATCAACTCTTTAATTTCTCGGTACATATGTTTCACTTAATAATAAAATTAATAACTTTTACGTTAAATATAAATGAGTATCTTTCTACCAAATAAATTGATTTCTTATCTCAACATTCTATCAATTTAAAAAGTTAACACAATTTACATTACTATAAAATAATTCCCCTCTTCAACTTTTACTTTTATCTCTCAACTGTTTTTTTTAACACAAAAAAAAACTACTAACCACGATATGCTTCACTTCACTTAAGAACAAATATTTAATAAAACAAAAGATGACCTGCAATATACATTTTTGTTAAACCAAACGAATTATCAACATATTCAGTTATATGTATCTCATCTATTCAATTATACATATACATATATATCAAACTATATCTCAGTTTTTTTTTATAATCCTTAAACAAATATTTTAATAATCATAACTCGAAATGAACCGAACAAATATTTTAATAATCACAACTCGAAATGAACCGAACAAATATTTTAATAATCATAACTCGAAATGACCCGAACAAATATTTTAATAATCACAACTCGAAATGAACCGAACAAATATTTTAATAATCATAATTCGAAATGACCCGAACAAATATTTTAATAATCGAAATCGACTAAGATATTCCTGTTCCAATTAATTTAATAATTAAAATGGTTTAAAATATTTAAATTATATATATAACCTTTTATTCTATTCTATATTTCTAAATTCTATATATATTTTTTATTCTATCCCACTTTATTTCCCCCTCTTTCTTAATTGATCACAGTGTATCATTTCTACACTTTTATTTTCCATTACTACTGAACATAATTTATTCCCCAAATTCTATCACAGCGCCTTTTTCCCATTTTTTTCCTTTTCCATACATTCTAACCCCAATTGATTCACTATATATTTCACCTGATTTTCCTTCTCCTGTATCTTCACAATTTCCCCAGGTTTCAACATATCCAAAAACATATTTATTTTTCGATCTAACAATTTTTCCGTAGGCGATTTACCATCTTTCCTTTAGCATTATTATAATACAACTGCAATACCCATATTTCACTTCGGTTATCTTTAGTTTTCATTAACCAACTTTTAACAATCGTCACCATCCTTTCCGCTTGTCCATTCAAACTAGAATGGTACGGTGGTGCAACTATATGATTTACATTTAATTTGATACAAAAATTTTTAAATCGTGTACTAATAAATGCTGGACCTCCATCCGATACCATAACTTTCGGTATCCCAAATCTCGAAAATATTTTTTTACAAAATTTTATTACAATTCCCGTGGATAACCCATGTACCTCCACGAATTCTATCCACTTCGAAAAAGAATCCACCATTAAAACAAATTTTTTCCCTTCCCACTCGAAAAAGTCCAAATGAATTCTTTCCCAAGGTTCTTTAGTTTTCGGCCAACTACTATTTTTATCTTTAGGGGGCATATTGGCACAGGCATTACAAACCTCACAATTTTCCCCTAATTTATCAATTTCTTCATTCATACCTGGCCACCATATGTATTCCCGTCCCCATTGTTTCATTTTCGTAATTCCTTGATGACCCGCATGTAAAATATCTAAAGATTTTCCTCTTAAATTACGAGGAATGATCGCTCTATTTCCTCTCATAATACATTTATCTACTATAATTAATTCCGCTTCCACATTTTTAAATTTCCTTCCCTGATCACTCCATGGTTTTTTCCCAGTAATCTACAATTTTACCAAATTCAATTCTTCATCCTTCATAGTATATCTCTGAATATCCTCCCATTTGGTAGGACTACCCTTTAACACTTTAGTTAACATCCTGATAAGAGCTTCCTCTCCATTTTCTTCATCAATTTTCACCTCTTGTTTCTCATCAATGATTTCTAATCTAGACATAATGTCCGGAAAATGATTCTCTTTTCCCTGCCTATACTTCAACTCCAAATCAAAACTTCCCACCAGCAGTAACCACCTTTGCAACCGAGGCGACATCATTAACTGCTTATTATCTTTTTTGAAAAGATGTATTAAGGGTTTATGATCTGTATACACTACAAATTTCCTCCCTATCAAATATTCTCTGCATTTTGTCAATCCAAAAATAACTGCCAAAGCTTCTTGTTCTATCACCGAATATCTGGTTTCCACCTCTCTGATACCCTCGAAAAAAATATTACCGGTCTTTCTAAACCTTCTATCACATGCAATAAAGCTCCTTCAACACCTTTATTCGAGGCATCTACCGCCAAAATAACCTCCAATTCGCTGTTAAAACATACTAAAATAGGCTCCTTGCTAGTTTGTAATTTTAACCACTCAAACGCCACTTGTTCATCTTTCCACTCAAAAGATACATTTTTCCGTAATAACTCATATAAGGGAGCTGCTACCTTTGCAAAATCTTCAATAAATCTATGGTAATAATTTACCATTCCCATAAACGATTGAATTTCAGCCTTATTCACCGGCTTTCTCATATAGCAATACTTATCAAATTTTTATCCAACGGTTTTACCTCTATTCCATTTATCTTATGTCCCAAATATACAACTTCGGTAACTCCCATAACACTTTTTTCACTACTCGCAAGCAATTCTTTAACTTTTATTCGTTCAAAAACCTCTTCCAACCTTCTATTATGTTGTTCTACCGTTATTCCTGTAATCAATACATCATCCATATAATAAAAAACACCTTCTAACCCTTGAAAAACCGCAGCCATTGTCCTCTGAAAAATTGGTGCCGAAATACTTAATCCAAATGGCAATATACAAAATGTAAACAATCCTTACGTCGTTATGGTTAACAATTTCCTCGTAGATTCTTTCATAGGTAACTGCAAATACGCACATGAAAAATCTATTTTTGAAAAATACTTCGCCCCCTTTAAATTCGCTAAAATTTCTTCAATTCTCGGCAACGGATACTTTACTTCCACAACCCATGGATTTAAAGTTACTCTAAAATCCGCACAAATCCTTAAATTACCATTAGCTTTCCTTACCGGAACTAATGGAGTTGCCCATTCACTGTATCCAATGGGACAAATTATTCTATCTCTTAACCAATTATCCAATTCTTTTTCCAATTCTTTTTCCATTTCTGCTCTCCATTCAAACGGTACCCTCCTAACAGCACAATATTGTGGAATAAACCCTTCTTTCAAACGTATATCTACTTCATAATCTACTAAACGTCCCAATCTTTCATCAAAAATTATTTCTTTATATTTTTCCTTCAAATTAACCATTGCCTTCCTTAACACCACTAAATCTTCTTTACTTTCATTTTCTATTTTTTTTCTAACCAATTTCACCAGAAAATTTTGTGCTACAGACAATTTTTCTCTCTCTAAATTCGAATCTTTGTAAATTCCATCACCACTCATATAACTATCCTCCAATCCCGATTCCCTTGAAATCAACTTTTTGTCTACCTCAAAATTAAAATTTTCATCACTTGTTTCCAAAATATTATCCATCTCTACATCCACAAAAATATCATCAATATCCAAATTAACATTTTACCCAGAATCATATATTATAGCTTGTTCATTATTCACACGATCAGGCTCCTCCTGATCCATTTTTCCATTTATAATTATTTCATTTCTCTGAATTTCCTCAAAATCTTTTCTCGAATTTTTAATTTCCTCGATTTTTAATATTCCAATTTCCGAAATTACATTTATTTCATTATCACAACTTCCTGATTATCATTTTCCATATTCTCCATTTTACTATTCTCCAAAATTTCATTTTCCACCAATTCATTTTCCGAATTTTTAATATCCACCTCCTTTACGGATGTTTCTAACTTTTCAATGCTTTTATCATCCATTTTCCCTTGAAATATATTCAAAAATTTATTTTCTAATCCAAATTTAGATATCCAATTCCATCCCAAAATCGCACCAACCTCTTCTTTTATTATCCACAAATCCAAAAATTGTACTACCCCTTTAACTAACACTGGTAAATTCACCTTCCCCAAAACGAAATTACAGTTCCATTTAACTGTTTAATTATCATTTTATCATTTATTAATTGCTCATTCGGCCATAAATTTGAAAATTCCTTATACCCCATTACCGATATAGTTGCCCCCGTATCTAATAACATTACAATTTCCTTGTTTCCCACATTAATTTTCACCCTCGAACATTCATCATAATTAATATCTTTTTTCACCAAATCTGGTATAATACAAATTTGTATATTTGCCCGCCACTCATTCCCTTTATTTTTAACCACTAATTTATTACAATTTTTCCATTCTTCGATTTCCAAATTATTTTCAATATTTAATACATTTCCTAATAATAAAGTTTTTCCCTTGTCCAATGGGTTTTCCGATGTTATAACCCCACATATGGATTCCTGTCCACCATATAGTCATGTGACGGGACAATCTCTCGCATAATGCCCAATGTTACGACATTTGAAACATGTTACATCTTCGACATTCCTTTTTTCATAGATATTTTTTCCCCCTTTTTTTATATATTCTACCGCCGGAAATGCTTTAGAATTTTCTTGTTGATTGTTAAAACACTTATCATGACCATGACAAAAATTTCCACAATTTCCACAAGCCTTTTGATTTTTATTCAACAATTTGTACGCCGGAACATAACACTCCTCAGTTTTATGCCCTTTATTCCCACACCTTTTACAAATTATGGTTAACATATTTGGATTTCTCCTTTCATTACAACCCCTACTGATATGTCCAAACTTCCCACAATTATAACACTTTTTATTTTCCCTTTCATCATTCCCATACACTCCTTTTCCTTCATTTTTCTTTTCCAATTCTTCTATTTTAATTTTCATTTCTGTCATTTCTGTTCTCAACATCTCTTTTTCCTTTTTAATCAACTCCAATTTTTCCATTTTCTTCCTTTCTTCCATTTCTTTTTTCTCTATTTCCTTCCTTTCACTTTCCCATTCCTCCCTCATTTCTCTTCTCATTTCTTCAATATTAACCTCCTTTTTTTTATGTTCCATTTTTTTAATTTCCTTTTCCTCTTTTTTTTCATTTTCTCCAATTTTTCCATTTTCTCTTTTTTCAGACTCTCTAACGAAATCTGTTTTATTAATATCAATTTCACATACATTTTTTTCAGAATCTCTGACGATATCTGTTTTTAATATTTCCTTTTTATCATTTCCATTTTTTACCATATATATTTCAATAAATAAATTTTCAATATTCCTCTTAAATTCTTAAATTTTTTTTATTTTTCTCCATTTCCACTTGCTCTAACACTCTTACTCGATTTATATCTTTATTTCCATTTCTTTTCTTATACCAAAAATATATTATAACCCATAATATAAAAACCACTAATATTCCAAAATACATTCTTAAAGGCTCAACATTTTTGACCTCAAAATAATTGTTGGTCTTAATATTTTTGCGATTTAGCATTTTCTTAAAATTATTTTTACTTTAAATTCTTAATTTTCAAATCTAAAATTCTTTAACTCTATAATAAACTTATCAATAATTTTATCAAAAAAATTTTCACTGTCTTAAATGATAAAATATACAATACCGAAATTATTCCGAAAATTATTAATACACAATAATACATAAAATTTCCAAAAAAAAAATCAAATTTTACCTTTTTTTAACGAATTTCCTTTTTTCTTTTTATAATTTTCTGGCCTGTTTCGTAATGGTAGTCATTGGTCTTCCGGATTAATTTTTTTTTAAATACAATCTTTTAATTGGAGGCACCACTTTTGAGATTATACTTAAAAATCTAGAACACTTTTGAGATTATACTTAAAAATCTTTTATTTTTCAAAAACTAAAACCTAACAATCAATCAATAAAAAAAATATATTAATACATTTAAAAAAAATCAATATTATTTTCTTTTATATTAATAACAATAATAATAATATATATATACCTAGAACAGTAATGTTTATATATCTATAAATGATTAAGAAATAATTAAAATGAAGATTTAAATTAATATTTTTTATTTTGTAGATTGTGACCTAATATTGACTCCTAAGTTCCTTCTTGATCAGGGGGTGTATATCGGTTACCCTCAATATTTTTTATATAAATTTAGCCCTCTTTCAAATTTTGAAAAGAGACTGAGCTCCCTTTCCCACCTTCCGGTTAAAAAATTTAATATTTTTCAAAAGTGTTAAATTTGAATCTCCTATCTCTTTATTATAGTTATAAAAATCGAAATTTTTATAAAATAGAAATTTTTTAGTTTCAAAAAAAAAAAATTTCTTCCTTTTGGATATTTTTTTTTATAGCCAGACAGAACCATTATAACCTAAAAGTTAGAAAAGCAAATGGTTTTATATTTCTATTTTATTATATTCGCTATTTTTGAAATGTATTCAGAACAATAATATAAAGTGATTTATTTCATATAATAAAATGTTTTTCTATTTTTCTAAATTGTAATAAATTATAAAGCAAATATAAAAATCAATTTATTTAAATACATTACAGTTCTCCCCACTATAAATTAAATTCATCATAATAACGTAATGGGGGTTTCGAAACTCTTTTTTCTAGAGTTGTATTTCCATTATGTTCTGCAATGTCCAAATCCTCAGTCATTGTTATGGGTGTTTCCTTAGCTTGTAGATGAGCTTCCTCAGTTTGTCGGCATGCTTGTTTTTTTACAATACCCTCAGACTCAACATCATACAATATCGCACTTTTCCGTTGAACCACTGTCCCTTCGTGTCATCCCGCAGTCCTTTCGTTTTTTACCCAAATCTTTTGCTTCTCTTCAAATTCACGGGGCCAACGTTCCTATCACTATAATCTTTTTTGTTTCCATAACGCGTTTACAGTCCTTTCTCTCGTAGATAATTTATTTGATCTAACGTCGTCCTGAGCTTCCTTCCAAACATCATTTCTGCAGGGGATTTACCTCTAGTTGCATTTGGAGTATTTCGGTGTGTAATTAAAACATTCGCTAAATTCAACTGGTCCGGAGTCCCACTTCTCTTTCCAGCAAAGAAACATGTCTTTATCGTACGTATATAACGCTCAGCCAAGCCATTCGATTTGGAGCTATAAGGGTCCGATCTAAAATGTGTTATATTATTTTTAAAAAGAAACGTTTTGAATTCAGATCCAGTAAACTGAGTTTCGTTATCTGAGACAATGTAACGAGGTAAACCAAATCTAGTGAAATAATTACGCAGATTATTTATTACACTCGTCGAATTAATATGTGTTAAAATTGCAACTTCACCTCATTTGGTAAAAGCGTCTACGCAAATTAACCAGTACTTTCCAAACACGGCCTGTCAAATCAATGTGTATTCGTTCCCAAGGTCGGGTAGGAATATTCCAATTGTATAACGGTACTTCTCTGGCTCCCGGTCTTCCTTCCTGACAACTCTTGCAGTTTTTGACAAATTCTTCAACGTCTCGATCAAGATTCGTCCAGAAGACATAGTATCTGCATAAAGATTTCATCCCCACTATCCCAGGATGTTTGATGGATAACATTCAAAACCTCTTTTTTTAGGTTATCAGGAATAATAATTCTATCATTATAAAATAATAGCCCTTCTTTGAAAGAAATATTATCTTTAATTAAGATGAATTTTTTTAAACTTTCCGAATAATTATTCATATTATCAATATGCCAATGATTTTTTATTAATTTAATGATCTCTTTTAGATTTATATCATTGATCGTTTCACTTATAACTTTACTTCGAGTGAACGATAAATCTTCTATTAAATTGATCTTTACTTCTCTAATTTCATTTTCAAATTTTTTTTTAACTTCATTAATTTTTTCTCTTTCTACCCCCAAACGGGACAGAGCGTCGGCGCATCTGTTTTGATTACCCGGCCTATTAATTATCTCATAGTCGTAATTTAAAAGCTTCGTCGCTCAGCGTATTAAACGGTTATTTGTTATTTTATTTAGGTCTCTTTTATCACCTAAGATATATTTTAAAGGTTTATAATCTGTAACCAAAATAAAATGTCTTCCATAAATATATTGATGAAACTTCTCGATAGCGAACATGATCGCCGAAGCCTCCCGATCAATGGTGGCGTAATTCTTTTCAGTCGCCGAAAGTGTCCTCGACGTAAGCAATCGGTTTCTCCTGGCCAGTAAGAAATCGGTGCGCAATAACAGCTCATAGACCATCTTCGGAAGCGTCACAAGAAATCACGACAGGAATATCGGCTGAATAAGGAATTATTGTATCTTCTTTTGATAATATTTTTTTTTACTCTATTAAATATTTCATCTTCTTTAGCTGACCAAAACCAACACACATTTTTATTCGTTAGTCGGTGTAAAGGCGCACAAATAAAATGTAAATTTTTAATAAACGATTCATGATAATTTACTATTCTCAAAAACAAACGTAATTCTTTAACATTAGACGGTGTTTTACAATTTTTTACATTAATCTTTGGGTCGGGTGAATTCCATATTCATAAATAACATGACCTAAATAACTTATCAAATCTTCTTAATACTTCTTCTAGATTAACTATATGATCAAAATTATTCTCGCCTGCAATAATTACATCGTCTAAAAATACACTAACCATAGGAATTCCCTTTAATAGATTTTGCATAAAGCGTTGAAATATTATCGGAGCGCTAGTCAACCCAAAAGGAATTCTTTGGTATCGGTAATAACCGACATGATTCGCATTCTGGACTAACTCCGAATTGTAAAAATGCATCTCTTAAATCTATCGTTGAAAATAATTTACCATCCGCGATCCTATTTGTCAGGTCGACGAAAGTTGGTAGTAAAGCGTTATCTATCGCTAAATATTTGTTGATTGTTAAACGAAAATTTCCGCATATCCGCACGGCACCGGATTTCTTTAAAATATTAACCGTTGGTATATCCCAAATAATTGGAGTCTTTGTTAGATCCACCTTCTCGATAACGAAAGTCTGTCCAACTCAGTTTAAACGATTCGACGCTACGAAAATTGAATTCTTCTAGATGGCAGCGCAATTGGCACTGTATTTGGTTGTATCTTGATGACAGCTTCCTGTAATTTTATTTGTCCTAATTATTTTTAAAAACTTGCAGAAATTTTGAAACTATAGTATTTAAACTGGAATCTTTCATATTTATATTATTAATACGAACTTCTTCAGGAAGTTTTATATCAAATTCTTTAAGAAAAGGCATTCCAAAAATAAGGGAATTCTCACCCTTAACTACACAAATAGGTAAAAATTTTGAAATATTTTTTACTTCGACTTCCACTAAACATTTACCCAATGCATCGATTTTGATATGGTTATATCCTACTAGTTTATAAGCAGGTGATAATGGTGGTTTGCCTATGCGACTCCAGGTAACCTCATCTATCACACTACATGCCACGCCAGTATCAAATTCCATAGTAAGCTACAGCCCATTTATCTTCGCATCGATTGTAGCTTTACTAGCAAAAGACAGGCGTGTCTGTGGTAAAGTCATTTGTATAGCATGCGTTCTACACTCTTTCGCTATGTTGTTTGCTTTTCCGCACCTAAAGCATATTACTTTTTTTTGACTGAAATTAGGTTTAAAACTTGGTTTATAAAAATTATGGTTGAATTTGTTAGCATTATAATTATTATTATTATTGAATTTGTTTAAGTTGTTATAATTATTCGTAAAATAAGTATTTTTGGAACATAGCATAGGCTTATGTTTAATTATTTTATTAACTTCTGTCAGGGTTTCTTTCTCCAATGAAGACAGCGCATTAGCTAGATGTACAATATCTTCAAAAGTAATATTTCCTTCGGCATATTTTGACCGAAGTTCTTTGTCCAGCTCAGGTAACCCTACTCCTAAGATGAAAATATCTCTTAAGAGTTCATCAACCGGTGATTTAAAATTACATAAAGAACAAATGCTTTTTAATTTAATTGAAAAATCAATAATAGTTTCATTATTTCTTTTTAAGGTATAAAAATCGTTTCTATGTAGAAAAATACTCGAGAAATCCTTAAATATTTTTTCTAAATTCTTGAGTAAAATTGGATAATTTATGTTATCTAAGTTAATAGGAAAGTAAAAGTTTTTAATAAAAGTTTTATAGAAAATTGTAGAAATACTATTTTTATAAAATATAAAACCAAAAAAGGCCAATAAAAGATATTAGTTGAAGAATAAGATGCAATAACAATCGACAGCGATGATGACAGGTTTTTTAAATTTTTACTTTATTTCAATGCACCAACTCTATGAGGCAATGGAGCCCTCAACGCGTTAAAATATCCTATAAATTGATAGTATTGACTTATTTATATTTTAACATCAAATTTTAAAAAAAATTTACAACCATCATTGAAATTTTTTGCTTCTGTTTTATTTACATAATTCACTACCAGCAAGTATTGACGATAAATCGCCTCATTTTAAATAAGTTTTGAGTCAAATCTAAAAAGACAAAACAAAATTTTTATTCTAAAACTGTATCTTAGTCTTGATCCACGTTTACAGTTAAAGGAGAGCTCAGTCTTGAAAAAAAAGTCAACTCGTGCCACAAGCCTTATCAAATTTTTACAATGTTAGGATTAACATTTAAACGCACTATAGGCTAGAAATAGACCTAGTTTTAGGTTTAATTTCATGAGGTTCTTCGGTATCTTTTTGCCAATGAACTAATTTTTATTGATTGTCTGATATTTTAAAAAAATATATCATCAAGATATTCCTAACAAAAAGTTTAAAAAATTCCTCAACTGTGCATACATTATCCTACAATACTACCAAGTGTGAGTCGTTTATCTTATGAATTCGAATTTAATTTTCATAACAAAATATGGAAAAGGAATCTCAGCGGAGGGATTGAAATCTTTATAAAAAATAACGCAGCCCAAAGGTAACGAAGAATCGGAATATTTATGGAAATTTTTTTTAATTGAAAAATTAAAGCCTCCCTGCCCAGATTATAAGCAACAACACTGTTCGTGATGGTAAAGATTAGAGCTCACATGCCTTAGAAACATACCTAGAATGATTTAGAAATATAAACAAACTTACTAATGAAGAAATATCTTATTATATCCGATCTATTTATATGCTCGTTTATTTTGTATGCATAATATAATAAATGACAAAATATGAAATTCAGAATAGTTCAGAGTTAGTAAATTTTAAAAATATAATATATTAATATAAAACCAGGCCGAAGGCTGGGCAAAAGCAGACTGAAGGCCCGCAAATAAGGAGGTATGGGGGGCTTTGCCCCCATTAATTTTTTTTAGTTGAGCCCCCTGAGATTGTAAAGGCTAACGATGCCCCTTGTGAAATAGAAAATGATAATAATTATAACAATGAAATCAAATTCAATACAGCAATGACTAAAAAATTAGAATGACACAAAGAATAGAAAATTGCCTGAATATGGCCTGAAATGTAAATTTATTTGAGGTTAAAAAATAAAATATATATTTAAAATATAAATTATCCTTTAAAAATATATCTGTTGATTTATTAAAATGCAATGTCATTTTTAAACATTATTGGAAAAAACGTTTGATTCATTTGGGCATACCTGTTATCCTAATGTCTAACATTTTACCAACAGATATCCTGGCATATTCTATACTGCTAAATTGTTAATTCATTTATCAAATTAGAAAAGTGTATCTCATACATTCTGAATATGGAGGAAATATTAATTTATAATTATTTTGACATGACTAGGGATGTAAATTTACCGGAAAACTAGAATAGGAAGACATTTCCCTAGAAATTTGGAGAAAAACGGGAAAATAAGGAAGCAACGGAGAATTTTCTTTAAAAAATTATTTTACAGGTCAATATTAATTTTTTTTCCATGTTTATTAAAAATTTATAGACTATCTATATTATAATTTTTTGATGTCCTCGCTACATCATTCGTGTGTCAGGTTATCGCTACGTCATGTCATCGTTACTATTCTTATTATTTATTTATCAATTTCAAAAAAATAATAAAGAAATAAATATTTTCTTCAAATTATTTTATCTCAAATTCAATCAACAGTATTCCAGTAATTTCACTTCTAATGGGTCACTAATTATAGTGTGCAAGTTAATTATATTATATTGAAGCAAATTATATATATGTACAAATTTTAGATATCAAAAAATAAAAATAAATATTTTCTTCAAATCATTCTATTCTAAATTCAACTCAACCAGTATTCAAGTAAATTCAATTCTAATGGATCATAATTTTAATTACAATATTGTTTGAAGCAGAATTTGCTTCTGGTAGCTTTCTTACCATTAAGGTTTTCTTAATTCCAACTGATTCTGGCTTACAATTTTTTTAAGTGCCGCCAATTTCTCGTGAGACCTGCTTATGTCATGACAATTTATAAAGCTCAGAGACAAACGTCGTTGGACAAAGTTGGCATCTATTTACCTCATCCTGTTTTTTCACATTGACAGCTATATGTGGCTATGTCTCGGGTTTGTTTTCCTCAATGTGGTGTTGAGGTTATATCCGATTAATCCCGTTAATACGAATACGATAGAACAACACTATATGATATTTTTTTTATAATTTAAATAAATTTATATATCTATTTTAAGTATCCTACTTATTTTTAAAGCTATCCATTATGTCGGGCCGAGCAATATGCCCTTTTATCTATGATGAATATTTGTATAACTCACAGAAAAATATACATAGTATATTATTTTTATTATTTAAATAAATTTATATATTAAGGATCTTACTTTATTTAAAGCTTGGCATTTTGTCACGAACAATGCTTTATTATCCCTGCTGATTATTTTGTATATAACTCACAAATATATAGTTTCTTTTCCTTGGTACCTTCTAACTTACGCTAATCTTTTTAATTTAATTTTTATTTTAGAATAAATGTATACTTTTTTTACTTGATATATTTTGAGCAATATGCCCTTTTATCTATGAAATATTTTGTATAACTCACAGAAAAATATACATAGTATATTATTTTTATTATTTAAATAAATTTATATTAAGGATCTTACTTTTTTTAAAGCTTGCCATTTTGTCACGATGCTTTATTATCCCTGCTGATTATTTTGTATATAACTCACAAAAATATATACATAGTTTCTTTTCCTTGGTACCTTCTAACTACGCTAATCTTTTTAATTTAATTTTAATTCTTTTTTAGAATAAATGTATACTTTTTTTACTTGATATATTTTTTATTTTCTTTTTCTTTTCCTTTTTCTTATTTTTTTTCCTTTCAACTAAAAATGAATGAAATTCTCTTTTCAAATTTTCTTTTAGCAACAGGAATAATAATGATTTATTTTGCTTTGTTTTCACTTTATATAACATCGCGAAAAGAATAAATACAAAAATAATCTACACAATAACAATAATATTATATTTTTTTTTCAACAACGATAAACATACAAAAATCGATAAACATTACGTAAAAAAACTATTACATGATAAATATATATCGATTAAACATTATTTACTAAAAAACCTATTAGCATAATAACTCAATATTCGCCAATCACATCACATAGTACATAATTTTTATTATTTAAATAATATTATATAGGATTATATATCTATTCCAAAAAGATGATATATATTACAATATTTTTATTATTTATAAAATTATATATCTATTCTTAAGGACGATACGTGTTCTTATATTTTTTATTATTAGGATTTTAAATTTATTCCAAAAAAACAATACATAGTATACGAATTTATATTATTAAATTATTCCATATCCATTCACAAGGATCCTTTTTTTAAAAGTTTGCCAATTGGTCTCTCCTAATAATAATTTATTTTAATCTTACCTTATAAAAATAACTTAAGAATTGGTTACCCGAATAATATTCGTTTTAGTTCGAAATATACTTACTATTTTGAATAATATTAGTAAATATTTCTATAATTTTTATCATTTGAAAACGGCTAACTCAATATTTTAACCAGAAATTTGCCTAAATCTTGAAATTGTCCAAACCTTTGTTCTATCTGTTAACAAAATTGTTAGGCTTTCGATGTGACTTCCCTATTTTTTACTAAATAACCAGGATATCGCTGCTAATCTCTACCATTAATGGTCACCGTACCATATCTGCAACAGTTTATATTTATTGATTTTTCACATATAAATTTTTTGAATTGAAATAATTTCACATATGATTCTTATAACTCGAAGATTGTACAACATAAAAAACATTTTTTTAAATATTTATTTTTGAGTGTGCTAGATGCCATTGAAGTTCGAGAACTTTGGATTAGTAAAAGTCATATGTTCTAGGCTCCATCGTTGAAAGAGTATTTATTTTTTTAATGCAATTGACATAAATTTCTAATATATGCCTTGACCTATTCTAATTTATTTTGACCCGTCATTTTATCTATTCTTGGATTTATAATCATATGTTTTTACTGTACCATTTATGCAACGTTGACCTTATAGATTAAAAAAAAGTAATTTTTCTAAAATAAAATATATAAAAAATTGGCAACATATTTAATTATATATTTTGTTTATAATTCTTACTAAACAAAAATACTATTTTTTCATTATAATATTTTTATTATTTATATAAAGTAATTCCAGAAAATTATTAATTTTTATTTTTTCATTTGAATATAAAAATTATTTGTAAATTATTTATTATCAACTTATATTTGCCAAATTTTATTATTGTGACAAAACAATTTCTAACAGTTGATGAAGCCCTATCCATGCTTTTCGATAAAGGCCCTATTTATAAAACAGATGTTGCAATTATACTTCCTAATACTGCTTTAATTAGTGATGATGAAGATTTCGATGAGAACGATATAACCAACACACCTAATCTTCCATTAGATACTGAAGGGGTGATCGAAATCCATAATCGAGCAGATATTAATTGTCTCAGAATACTCGATATCTACAAATCAAGAAAGCAAATTAAATTTTCGAAATAATTTAAAATGGAGAAAAATTGATCCAATTTACACATTGAGACCTAATGATAATGATAAAGAATTATAGAATCTCAATTTGATTTGATCGGAAAAACTCCAATAGAAATATTTGGATTATTTTTTGATCAAGAAATGTATTCACTGCTTGTGGATCAATCACATAATTATTCAAAACAATAAACCAAATTTTATTACAACTGAGTAAGAGATAAAAAGATTTAGAATTGTGGTGTTTTGATCTATGCGATAACATAGTATCAACATATAGAATAAATATGAGATAAAAAATGGTAGTGCCTATTTTTGAATCTTATTGATGTAGAAGTAGTAAATTCATGGAAGTTATGGAATCGAGTGTATCCTGATGATAAAAAATCATTACTAACATTTCGGCGGGTAATAACTACCACACTTTTGAAAACTCCTCTGGTAAATAAAAAAAATGAGTACAAGTAGAGGTCATCCTAGTCACTAAGTGAAACACCTGAAAATTCTTATGGGTATAATATTACAACTATTATCGATAACAAAAGGTGACGTTGTAAGCATGTAACATGTGTCAAATACTAATACATATTGATTGTTTAAAAAATTTCATAAAATATAAATATTATAAAATTGTATCTCATAAATGTAAAATATGTAAAGAAATTTTGAAATTATCTATCTCATTTCGATTTTACTCAATAATAATTTTATCTTATCTTTATACCCCTAATGGTCAATCATATTTCCTATTTAAGATAATTTTTTCGTGCCGACTTTTTTGTGATATCTTAGTTATACTAAAATAAATAAAATTTGAAAAAATTAAGAATTTTCATCAGCTGAAAAAAGGTAACCATTAATTGGTTAATGCAAAATTTTACCGTGTTTACATTCTATAACTGAATTAAATTGTAAAAAAGGTCCAATTTACCTTGTTGATAGCCTTATGGTTAAATGTCTCAACATATTTGCTTAATACTAACTCAATATTTTAATCGATCCTGCTATATATACATTATTCATGATTTAGTGCAAAGAAATTATATTTTACTTATGATTGTGGTGTCCAGGAATAATAATGCATTCAAATATAAAATTTGAAAATTCAATAAGAAATATAATAATACTTTTTGGGAATTATTTAATTTTGGATACATTAATTAAGTTAAAGAAAGGATACACAATTATAACCTATCCATATAGGAATCACATTTTTTTTAATAATCTCCTGATTTCGAAAACATTTAAATTTGTTTCTTTATATTTTCTATTTAAATAAAGAATTTTATATTCTTAATATTATTAATTTTTTTTTTTAAATTACGTTTTTTAAAAATTTTTATATCTAGTGTGAAACCATTTTCTTTTAAATATTAAAGTTGTTTATATAATTCATCTTATAAATATTATTCTATCATATGTTTCTATGAAAAGCGATTATAAATTTTAATGAAAAAAATTAAATTTAATAATATATTTATTATATTCCACCTTTTATTTTTCAAGATTGTTGAAATGATAATTTCGTTCAATAAAAATTTACCATCAATTATTTTAACAATTATGACGTAGGCGCTTTCTTAAATTCGGTTTAATCGTGAACGTTTTCTTAAATTTTTATTTACTTCTTTTATTTTAGGCAGCTGATTACAAAATAATCTTGAGAATAATAAAAAAAGTAGAAGAGCAAATTGATCCTTAGTTCACCATTATCCTTATATTTAACTTTTCGATTCACTCTATGTAACCCATTCTCGATAAGAAATAATATTTTGATAGGCAATCAAATCTTGAATAAAACTCAAATTTCGAAAGCTATTGAAATAAATAAGCTTTTTTTGTTTATCGAGAAATATCATGTAAAAGTATATTTCTAGAAAATTTTCAAAATTTAACAGATTTGGTTTAATATTTGTGAAAGTCTTAAAACTAAAAAGTTAAAAAATTAAAAAAAATCTCTAATATTATTTCGCGCATAATATAATTTTTCTATATATATCTCATTTACATAACTAAATATAAAAAAATATTTTCTAATCGTCGATGTACAATAATAATTCTTAAAATTTTTCCATTAATAACATAAAAATTGAATCATATAATAAATTTCATTAACTTCCATAATATATTATAGCAGAGACTTGCAGAGGTATACCATTTACATGGACCGGCCCGGGTATTTTCAGGCCCGGCCCGGATTTTTCTAAAATATATTACATTTATTTTTAATTTTTATTAGTAATAGTGGCGATTTAAAATATATGGCCTGGCTTGGGTATTTTTTTAAAAAAATTTTAGGCCTCCCCGGGTATTTAAAAAAATAAAATACTATGCAGTCTGATTTATAGTGCTGGCAATTAATATGCAAATTATAATTCAACAAAAACTCGGACTATTTAAACAACCAAATTTCAATTTGCTTTAATAATCATATATCTCGATAAACTATAGTTTTCTTCCATCTTATCCAGTGACTTGTTTTAATCACCTCCTGGGTTAATCTTTTAGACCTGTTCTAATGACCTGTCCTTTGTTTACTATTCTTAGCTTCTAACAGCTTGTATCGGATTATCGCTTAATTTCCTTTCCCGCTTTTGTTTCTTTTAATACCAGCTTAAAATTCATGCCGATTTGTTCTAGCTTCTGTTGCTTGTTTCTCACAATCTCTATTAAATAAAAAAGTTTATCTCTGTAAACGATTGACGATTGCTGGTAAACGATTGAAGATTGCTGGTAAACGATTGAAGATTGCTGATAAACGATTAATTGCTTGTAAACGATTCATGATTATTAGAAAGAAATTAGCAATTCTTGTAACTATAACAATCTTTTGTCAGCTAACGATTTTGTAACAATCATGATCTCTTGTAGATCTTGTCAATCATGTGTTATTTTTACCTTCCAATATTGCTCTTTTTTTTACGACCATTTGTTTAGATATCGATTCTATTGTTTCTTTATCCTAACCATTGATCATTATCTTTTGTCAACCATGTTAATGCTAGATTTATACATAAAAATCTTTAATTCTTAATTTATATTTAAAAGTCTCTTTTTTTCCTTTTGTGCCTTTAGGCGTTTAAATCATCATATTTTAGGAACTTTTGGACGAGCACTCTCGTTGTTGAAAATCAACTGAAATATATATCTTTGTTGTTCTTTATTTTCTTGCACTCTCGTTGTTAAAATTAACTGAAATAAATATCTATAATGCACCTTCTTTTCTTCATAAACATTCTTATTACCCTCTAATTCTTCTTTTTCGAAATTTCTTAAACCAATCCTACAATTCTTGTAAATTATCTTACATTTATTAAAACTTTAAATTAATCTTTTATTCTTCTCTTCGGATAGCTTTAGAATTTCAATATCAGCATCATACAAAAAATAAACTATTTCTTTATTCTGCTTGGATATTTTATCTACAAGTTCTATTGTAATTAGCTTTTCTCTTGTATCTACTTTCAAGGCTCTTATTAATTTAATATATATCTTTTCCTCTATATTCTGATCTAAACAAGTAATCTATACTCTATTTTTTGTTTTCTAAAAAAAATAATTCTTTTCTTCTTTCTCTTAATTATTATCTCAATT